ATATAGTTTTATTTATTTAATCCAGCGGCACTAAATATTATCTCTCTTAAATAGATAGAGTTCTAGGCGCGCTTGACGAGCTCCCAGACTCGAATAAACTAATTAGACAGATATTTCTTTTAAAAATTAACACTCTCATCTCAATGAGATGCGCCTTCATATATAAGTTTGTTTGCCTTAACCAGTAATACATAGCTACTTTAAACAACGGATGCAACTCCCTTTAGAGGTTATTTTCCTCTCCCAATTTACTCTGCTTTATTTTAGCTTAACTTGAAAAGCATTATTACCACTAGATAACTTAAAATATTTATTGTACAAATAACATTATATAATTTTGGAATTCTATTCACTAGATTAAATTTTACAAAAACATGCAAAAGTTAAAACTGTTACTTTTTGCATCAATAATTCCGATATCTTAACAGTCGTAAAATATATCTCTTTAAATTCTTATGTTCTAAAATGCATTTTCATATCTTTAAAAATACAATAACCAATTTGTATCATTGAAAATCCTATTGGATATACTTGAGAAACTAGTATGATTATTATTATATCCAGGTACTGCAGACGACATTGGTAAGGTTGTTGTTTAGAATTAAGCTCATCAGAACTTAATAATCATAAAGAATGGAAGTAGTTGAGACTTTATATCATATGAATCTGCCTTTGCCGGGTCACTGATTGCCTTTTAACGATTGCCATCCAATGACGATATAGTAATCTAAATGAGTTAAGCCAATCATTAACTTGTACTGGAATTTTGCCCTACAATGTAATATATTGGAAATCCAGTCTACTTATACACGATATAATATATTAATTAATATGGGTATGAAGTCACCCAAAAGTGAATCCCCCCCCCATAGAAAAATTATAGCTACCTATGATTGGGAAAGAGCTATATGTTTAGGGATAGAGCTTTATAATTCTTTTTTATCGAGCTGATATTTTTATGCTATCATTACTCATTGCCACATGTAAAATAAGTAGATCTGTGCACCTAGGCATAGATTAGCTGCCGCCAGTAATTTTTAGTCCTACTGACTCTTCTGCCAAAGAGTGCCGGCCCTCATTAGACTGCCACAGATGTAAATTTGGCGGCGTGGCGGCAAGATATATATTTTTTACTATTATTGAATATTTTATTGAAATATTAATTTTTTAATTTTATTTATATATTTTTGAATAATTATTATATTTATAGAAGAAAATAGTAAACGTTTACAATGAAATACAAAAAATAGTTTAAGTTATTTGATTATAAAATGGATGTTTTAGATAAAAATTTACAAATATATTTAAAATAAAAAATATATATTAAAAATTATCGAAAAAAATTAAATATATATAAATATACAACAATTTTTTAAAAAAGGACCATGGCACCCTAGAGAGGAACGAATGCTTAAGAAATTGGGAAGGTATACTCTGAGGGGTCACCTGTAATGAGTTTTCTTTATTTTGTCCATGGCTTTGATAAAATTAATTGATAAACATGGTGAATGAAAATTTAACAGAAAAAATTTCATAGAGCACAATTGCCAATACGCCGTCTCTCTCTCTTACATAAACAAGCCAGCTACACCAAGGTGATTTCAGAATCAGATTATATTAAGATAAGCTAAAAAAATAAATATTCATAAATTAAGCATCAGAATTTGAAAAAAATTACAATTATACTAAACCAGACGTTTTAGCAGTCTATGAAAAGTATATCAATCAATAGTTACGCCTCATGTTTTCAATTGATGATCAGATATCTCAAAAAGAATAGTATTTGATTCTTTAAAATCTTTTGATTTTAGCTAAGAAAAATAATGTGTGATCCAGTAAGAAGCACATTCTCAGAGCATTTACTTAAAATATTTGGAGATCTTGTTAATAGATCCTTTTAAAAAGATCGAATCCCGATCACGATCTTTTCAAAAAAAAGAGATCGAAATCCAGAATCGACCTTTTTTTTTAAAAAAAAGGATTGCGATCACGATCCTTTTCTTATTTAAATTTTTGAAGGAAATTACTGATCGATGCATTAATATAAAAATAATATAAATATTGTATAGTATAAATTTATTGTAATTGAATAATATAATATAAGTATAACAATTAGAATATATTCATTTATAATTAAAATTATCTTTTAATAATAAAATTTTTTCAGTTATTATCATTTAAACATCAACGTCTTTCATTAAGCACATTTTAGCTTTACTAAACAAGAGATCCACAGGAGGGCTTGATGGCAAAGGTATGTTATATTCAATAAATTTTTTTTTAAATTATAAGTATTAAAAATATTATTTAAATCATCATTTCAATAAAAAAAAATTATTAATGAAACGAGCATTTTGTGAAGAATATTTCTCAAAAAGGTATCTATTTCATCCATACATTCATTTGAAGCATCTGAATATGGTTGATCCTGCATATTTTCCAAATAGGCAATTAACCTTTCTTTTACTAACAGATTTTATGATAGATTAATATAGGCCAATTTAGTTTAAATTTTAGGTGAATTATTGCTGTCAATATGTTATTGTCTTCATACAGTGAAGGAAATCTATATTAAAAAATGATAATTAATTTATTATACATTAATAGTAGATGTATTATCTTCTAAATCTAGGAGGACTTTATTAAAACCTAGAATTTATTTATTATATATAATATAATTAAATAAATAAAACTTGTAAGCTCTAAATTTCGGTTTAAATAATTTAGGAAATTGTTGAAGTGGAATGGAAGTAGTTAAAATATGTTGTAGATAGTTATTTTTTTAAAAAAATAATATTTCAATTTAATTTTCTAAATTTTCATTTTAATTATTGCTTCTTAAGTAAAAAATTAATTTTTAAAAGGATCGGGATCGAATATTAAAAAAAATGATCTCGATCACTATCCTTAATTTATATCAGGATCATAAATCTGGGAAATTTGACAAATTTAGGAACGAATCCAGGATCGGCGATCTTTTGATTCGATCTTTTAACAACTCTGGTTAAAAATTAATACTAATCTGACTTAGTTAAAAAGAAGAATATTGTTTTATAATGTTAAAAAAAATTATATTATTATTATTACGTAAAAAATTATTATTAATTTTATACTATGTTAAAAGATTTTGATTATACCTAAAAAAATAGTGTTATTAAATAAATAATAATATTTTTGTTGCGTTAAAAACAATATGCACGGGGGAAGCTAATTTAATATTGCTTATTTTTAGAAAAAAAATTCATGCTCATACATTCCTGTAAATTTTTTATTATGATAAAAAATATAAATATTAGGAAACCAAATATAAAATTGCTTATTTTTTATAAATAAAGAGAAAATGCGAATGAATTGTACAATTTATGTTTAAAAAAATAAACTTTGGGTAAGCAAATGACAAAATGCTTATTTTTCTTTAATTAATAAAAGAGAAAGAAAAATTTTTTTATAATAAATTTTTTTATTCTTTTTAAAAGAATTAATTGATTTAAAATGTTTAATAATTGCAAATTTAATATTAAAAATTGATTAGAAGTATCATTTAGCTCATGATGCGAAGAAATTGATTATTAATAAAGGAAGATCAAAAGCAATTTACAAAACTCAAAACTTGCATTCGCAATTTTTCAATCGATAAATATAAAAAACATAAATGGCTCATTAGATATGAATTTTTTTACCTATATAGCGTCACTAGCAGCGTCTACATGACAGGATTTTTACTGGATGCAAACTCCTTTCAAAAACCTTTGCCTACCCCCCTAAAAATTCCCGCCGCCTTCGGCGGTGGTGCCTTTTTGTTATTATTTTTACCTATTTATTTATTGATACTCTTTTCAAAGAATTTATAAGGGATAACTTAAATTAATCTATCTCTACTACCAACTATCGATATTTTATGAATATAAAGAATTTATTTTTTAGATAATAAATACAATTAAAACCTCCATTATTTACAATTAATTTATTATTATGGAATTATGAGCTTGCTGAAATATCTAAACCTTTTAAATTACATTTAAAAGGATAGTTTATTTGGAAAACAATGTGTGTGATTGTTTGCAATATATAGATTTGGTCGATGAATTGTATTATAATAATACTATAATAAAAGTATTAATTTTTACAGCAATAAATTTTGTCCTATTTCATCTCAAAATTTAATAAATAACCCCCCTCCCAGTAATATTCCCAACCCCCATTAAAGCAGCTTACCCCATACCCCCTCAAAAAAATAGGATGCAAACTGTTCATACCCCCCACGGTCATATAGACACTGGTCACTAGGAGGGGGGCGTAGGGACTCTAGACGTCTGGAAAATTTGAAGAGTTCCCTCAATTTTTAATTTTTATACCACTAAAAAAAAGGTAAAAAAAAAGGTAAAAAAAAAGGTAAAAAAAAAGGTAAAAAAAAAGGTAATTTAAAATAATGTTAGATAAAAAAAGAAAGTAATTTTAAAAATAATTTGAGTGCTCTGAGATTGTAAAGGCCAGTGATGCCACTGCTATGTTGTTTCTCCAAAGGAAAAATATGTTTATAATAATAAAAGATTTTTGGATAGGAATATTTTTATAGGCAGTTTAACAGCATGGAGAATTAACCGCTCATGTAGTCGATGACTCAATTATAATCATAAAAAATATGATATTGATGCGTAAAATATTCACCAAATTTTATGCAAAAATATTTTTGTATGGTTTGATTATTAAAAATTAAAAATGTTTTTCTGTTTCCTTAGTATTAAACTTGACTCTCGTCACTGAGTAATACTAATATCATTTTAAATAAAAAAAATGCATATATACATGTAAGTAATAAATTTTGTTTGTTTAAAAATAATAAGCTTCTCTTCTCTTCTCTTCTCTTCTCTTCTCTTCTCTTCTCTTCTCTTCTCTTCTCTTCTCTTCTCTTCTCTTCTCTTCTCTTCTCTTCTCTTCTCTTCTCTTCTCTTCTCTTGGCATTCATTTGAATGATTGACATTTGTCTTTTAAATATTCTATTCAATATTCTTGATATGAATGAAAATAGAAAAATAAAAAAGGAAAACAAAAAAAATAAAAACATTCAAAAGGTGTATATTATTATTTTATAAAATTTTATGCTTATTATAAAATAAGATTATTGAAAAGAAAGATCTAAATTTGATTATACCAAAAGAAACTAAAAATCCAAAACCTATTGATGAAAATGCAAGACCAAACCATTTCAAAAATTTAACTGAAGATTCAATAAAAACTAAAAAAGAAGTAAAAGCTACAAAATTAAATGATAGCACTTTTCAGCAAAGTATTTATCAATGTTATTTTAAAAAATGATTTGAAAATTACTTAGGTTCTTTGCGAGTACCTGAAAATATAAGGTTAGATAATGAAAAAGTTCAAAAAAAGTTAGCAAGGAAACTAGCAAAAGACAATATTCCTCAAAGAATAAATATTGAGAAAAAAATTGCTCTCTTTTCTCATTTACCTCAATATGATAAGAATATTATGTCAATTACAAAGAACTTATCATTTTCTACTATTTTAAATACACATATTATAAAACTGGGCTTGCAATATGCACAACACAAAATACTTGGTTCAAATTCTCGTTGTCTTTATTTATTAGAAGTTTTAAAGAAAGTAACTATTTCTAATTTTAAAAAAACTAACAATGTTTACAAGTTAATATATGAATATCAAAGTGTGCCACAAAAAGAAATTCAACGTGATTTAGAGTCAAAGCTTAAACCTAATATATTTTTTTTATCACAATGTAGACCACTTTCAATTAATATGAGAAATGCAATTAAATATATTAAAATGCAAATAGCTAAAATTCCTCCAAATTTCACAGAAGCACAAGTTTATTAATATTTAGGAATATTTTAGATACATTTTCATATTTAAAATTCCTCATTAATTAATATAATGTTTTGATTTGTTTTTGCTAGAAATTATATTTGGATAATTTTATTACAAATTGACCAGTGATTTGGACAACCATCTTAGGAATGAATGAGACTTGGCATGTTAGTTATTTATATTGTAAAGGTTAATAAACAAAATATTAGATATCTAGCTTAACCAGATCCAAAGATATATGTCTTCAAAATCGAAAATTGCCAAATATATGATTTTATTAAATCTTGTTTTTTTTAATTACTTAAGATAGGGTTACATGTTATATATCATTATATAACCCTTAACATCATTGGAAAATAAAAAAAAATTTTTATTCTTATTTCTGGTAAAAATAAAATATGTTAGAAAGTGATTTTTTTTGGGTGTTGAATATCTCTAAATATGATTATTCCCTTTATATTAAATTATTTAATATTTCTGGTAAAAATAAAAAATTACTAGAAAGGGATTTTTGGGGGGTGTTTATATTCTCCAAAATGATTATTCCCTTTATATTAAACTCTTTAATAAAAAATCTCTATAGCCAGTTTTTTAAATTTTATTTAAATAAAAAAAGATGATGTAGATGGCGTTATATTCAAAATCATTATAGCATAGTATATTTATTTAAAATATGAATTATATTGGTATTAAAATAAAATCTATTGAATATAACCAATATGATTACCTGGTGTGATATCCAAGCAGGCAGCCCATACAGATATGTTTATTTTTTGAATGCTATTACAGTGATGAAGCTTCCATAGAAGCATGGGAAGCATTGCTTCCCTTGAAATTTTTCCTAAAAATTTTTTAAATAAACTTAATTTAATCTTTATAATATGTTAAAAACTAATCTGACTTTGGTAAAAAAAATTATTATTATTTTTACTACGTTAAAAAATTTACCATTATTTTACTATGTTAAAAAAATATATGAGGGAAGCAAATGTAATATTATATTGCTTATTTTTTTAAATAAAGAGAATCATGCAAATATATTGTGTAAAAAATAAGCTTTGGGGCAAATAAAGTTTTTAATAAAAAAAGAGAAAAAAAAATTCAACTTGAAAAGAATTAATTAATGTTTAATTATTACAATTATATTATTAAAAATTTATTAAGATTATTAGAGTTGTATAAAAAGTATCTATACTATTTCATGTGAATCGGTATCTGTTTATAAATACTTTTTAAGATAAACTTTGATCTAAAAAATAAAAATATTTAAGCACAAATATTATCTCATATGTTTGAGCATATAATTTAAATAACTATATATTATAAAAATATTAAGAATAATATAATAAAAAATATATATAATATCAAAACTTATATATATTTTACCCATTTATATCTATAGATATTAGTTCAAGATTGTGAAGGATATTTTTATCATGCAAAGGAATTTATAAATCCTTGCTTAGCCCTGACGCCAATTAATTATAAACTACCATTTATGCACAAAATTATTTTAAGCAAATAAATTTATTTAGTTTTGTAAAATAATTTTATATATAATGTAAAAAAAATTTTTTTATTTTAAATCTATTTTTGATTTTGATTGAAAAAAACTTGGTATAAAATTAAAAATTTAACAATAACTTTTATAATTCAGGACTTGATCATTTTAATCAAAAACAAAGACGAATTCTTTTTATCTTTTTATGGTTTTAATTTTTTCTATTGCTTCTAATCTTGACGCTTCGTCACTACTATATTGTAAAATAAATAAACATATTTTTTTATATACAAACTATTATAAACAAATACTTCAATTATCTTTATCATATTCCATTTTGTGTTTATTAAGGGAGTTTCCTCAGGCCATAATTTGTAGATATATCCTGTCGTTATTGTGATCTACTATCATTATTATTTGATGTCACTTGTGGAATAAAAGAAGGATGTTGGTCCATGAGGTTATAAAAATTAATTTCATTCTTTGTACTATGGCTAACCACCAAATATTGTCATAAACATATGATTAGAAAAAGGCCTGTCCAGACTGGCCCTAAATAAAAGATCGATCACATATATTTATGAAAATTTTTGGTGATTAGTCACAATAATAAAAAAGAATGATATGACTGATAGGTATATATCTTTTTTACATTCTCATGGATCATCACCATCCTTTTTTTTTTACCCCACGATTGAAGAAAAGAGATGACTGCCCAGCTCTAATCAAATACAGTGTGGTGCAGATTTAAAGGAAAGTATTTCCATATTTTTTAAATCGTTTGTAAATAAAATTATTTAACTTGTAAAAGAATATATAAATATGTTATTGTAACAATTCTTTGCAAATCAAATAATTTTATTTTTATTTGCAAATAAATTAAAAAATTTGTTTTCCTTTAAATCTGCACACCACTAATAACGATAGTAGATCCCATAATAGTGACATGTCTCACTTACAAATTATCGCCTCAGGAAATTCTACTAATAAGGGTATGAATATGCTAAAAACAAGAGATATTTTTTTTTTATTTAAAATATTTTTATTTTACAATATAGCGTTCTAATAATAATCATAACTTTATGGGCTCCTTGATTATGTATTGCCCCATGGAATCATATTGGTTAAACTCAATCGATTTTTTTATTTTAATACCAATGCAATTCATATTTTTATTAAAGATATCGGCGGTATAGAACTAAAGTGCTCCACTTAAGCAAATGTTTAAAATGAGAAAATCAACATTAAAGTTTAAAATCAAATATAGTAAAAACATATTTATCAATTTAATTAAAAATTCAGAGATAATTTATATCATATTGTTAATTAATTATAGCCTAAAAAAATTTTTTCGCAAAAATTTAAATTATAATAACACTTAATTTTTTTTTGATGTTCAAAATGCTCCATTTACATTTTTTTAAATTAGAATTTAACAAATATATTCAAAATAATAACCTCAAATTATCGAAACTATTATCTTTATTTTTTTATAATTTATTCATGTAATAATCTTTAACAGGAATTCATGATAATCTTACGCATTTTTTTAGAATATAAATCATAAAGTATTTTTTAATTGAAACTTCCCTCAAAGTTCTCCTTTGAAGAATCATATTCTACCTATGTTAATCTCTTAGATTATCATTTATGTGATAATTTTAAAATTATTTTTACCTATTCTATGAGCCAAATCAGTCAATATTTTGGTAAAATTTTTAATGAAATAACTAATATATTTATTACTTATATCAAGTGTTCTTAAAAAAATTGTCTAATCTATCTTTTATCCTTCTCTAACATTGAGTCTGAACAATAAATTTACTATAGAAGCTTCATCAGCTAAACTCCAAAAGGCATCAAGAATAATTTTACTCTGATCAACATTAGCTTTTTTGTGACACTGAAATATACATTTATTCGAATGATTATGAATAATTCTTGTTCTTTTTACATCACCTTTAATATTAAAAAAGGTCTCCCCTATTTCATTTAATTTTTTCCTTCTTTCATTGGCTTTAGTTTTAGAAGTTGAAGGGCTATAGTGATCTGCATCGGGCCTAATTTTTTAAGCCCGGACCGGTTCTAAATTTTTTTAAATATAGAAATTAATCTTTATTATTACTCAAAATAAAAGACATATGTTATATGTCGTATAGTTTCAATAAATAAAATCAATATTTTTATTTTACATAAAAATTCAATATAAAATTGATAAATTTTGATATATTTAAGAAAATTTGCAAGGTCCGACCCGGCCCAAACCCTATTATTTTAAATGGAATTAAACCCGAACCCGTTCGGGCCGGGTAATAGCCGGGTCTAACTTTGCAGATCTTTAGGGCTAGGTATAGTTAATAATAAATTTTTATTTCTTTATTTAATGAACACAAAAAATTGATAAATTTTATATATGTGTAAATATAAATTTAAATTCAATTTTATGTAATCTTTATTTAAATTAGAATAGATTATTAAAAAATTGTGATAAATTTGAGATACAATTACTTAATTTCAAATTCAATTTTTATATCTTTATTTAAAGAGCATAATAATGCTTAATAAAAAAAATTGATAAATTTATCATACAATTTAAATTCAATTTTTATATCTTATTTAAAAATTACACATGGAAACTATATTAAGAATACTATAAAATAATAAAAAAAATAATAATAATTTGGAAATAGATCTTGAATAAAAATATTTTACGAAATAATATGGAAAGCAAAAAATTAAAAAGGAGAGAAATATAACACGTGATTAAATAAGATAATAGTATAAGCCATGCATATGAAGCAAAAGTTACTTCGTTTGCAAATAGCGCAAAATTGACAGTTATAGCTTTGGCAAAAATTAATATTTAATCTAGTTTTTATTTTTATATATATATTGGGAATCTTCCAACTCAAAAATTTTGAAAATATTGAAGCAACCAATTCTAAACCGACGATATTATGTTATAATGATTTTTGAATATAACGCCATCTTATTAACTTTTTTATTTATAAAAATAATAAAAATTTAAAAACAAAAATGGCTTTCGAGATTTTATATTAAATAGTTTAATATAAAGGAAATAAATATTTTTAGAGAATATCAACGCCCAAAAAATCCCTTCCTAACAATGTTGATTTTTTTATTTTTACTGGAAATAAGAAGAAATTTTTTAATTTTATTCTATATTTTCCAATGTAAAGGGCTATAAAATGATATATAACTTGTAACTCTATCTTAAGTTCATTCTTTTAAAACAAAAACAAGATTTAATGAAATCACGCATTGGGCGATTTTCGTTTGAAGAGCTATCGCTCCAAAATTTTGGTTTTTCTAAAATATGCAAGATATTTAACTAACATGCCAAGTTTCGTTCATTTTAGAAATTTTTGTCAGAAAATTTCATTTTTTTAGACTATTTGAAGTGGAAATAACCCATTTGGATTAATTAAATTAGTATTTTAATATTTAATAAACTTTTACTATATTTTTTTTTAAAATTATGATAACTCCTAGGCGAAAGCTCTATTAATTAGTTCTATTGATGATTATATAATGGAGAAAATAGTATTAGCAGGGGAAGCTATATCTAAAACATATGCAATCACCAAAATTTCAAATTATGACACCATATTAATATATTCATAGTAATATTTTTTGATATTTATTTCCTTGATTTGTATTATTAATATTATTTTAAAATAACCATAGAAATAGATTAATTAATTCAATTCAAAATTTTTAATTCTTCTTTATGACCAGGGTTGCCAGGTCTCCGCCATCAGCGGGAGCTCCCATAAAACTACCGTAAGCAATTTTTAAATTTCTCCCGCATAATTCTTTTTAGCATTTTAACGTTTTTATTCTATAAATAATAATTTTGAGAAACAATAATTTATTATTTTTATATTATTAAAATATATTTTAAATATTTATTCAAAAAACGTCTAGTTTGTAAATTTCTTTCTATCCTTACATTAATCATATTGTTTTATTTTTATCCTATAATATATCAACATCATTCATTCATATTTTTCATTTCCATGTTTGTTTGTGTATAACATTATAGGGCTAGTTGCTTAATTATCATGTTTAAGTTTTTTTTTATATAATATAAACAAAGTAACTCCAAGACAAAGAAGTAGAAATTAAAACTAAATATAAAATATTAACTATTTTGAAATTATAAAACGTTACCGACTTTGTTAATATTTATATAAAGTAATTATAACCCACAGAAATTTTTTTTTAGCAATTTTTATATTTATACCATGATTATCATATTTAACCCCCAAAATAGCAAATTTATCCCGCAATTTGAAAATTTTGACCTGGCAACCCTGTTCATGATGTTTTAATGGTTATTTTATTTATTGTCAGATTGTCAAAAATTAGCCTAAAGAAACATTTATTTTTTTAAATTCTATAGATTGAATAATAATTTTTTTTTCATTTATAGTTCAACCCTTGTATTTAAAATCCTTTATGATTGCCATAAATCCAATAAGAAAATTCATGTTTTGGTAGTGGACTCACGCCCTGATTTAAGTGGTATATATTTAAAATTCCCTATTAAATGTGAATTATATTAATGCATATTTATTAAATTTTATATATAGGAAAAATTATGCTTCAAAAATTGCTCAGAAATGGGATCAAATGCTCATATCTATTCATTAATAACCTATCACAAGTTATGCCAAGAGTAAGTATTTAAGCTTATTAACATTGAAGTGTTATAATTAGGGTTGTTAAAAAAAACCTATTCAGGTCGATTTTTAAAAACGACCCGATTAAGATTTTAGCCATGATAATATTTTGTAAGTTTCAAGATTTGGCAGATAGAGGTCTAAACCTTTCTGCCATCTATGAACAAATATCCATGACTAGATTATATTATTTGACTAAAATCTTAGTCAGGTTGTTTTTAAAAATCGGGCATTAACACTCTGGCCCCTAAGTATATATTTTTTGTTTTAACAAAGCAAAACAGCTCCCCCCCCCATCCATTTTATATAATCTAAAAGAAGTTTTAATTTATCAATTAATGCAAAAGCAAGATTGGGCACATTACTTATTACTCTTACCGTTATTTAGAACATATAACAATTTCGAAAAGTTCTCCATTACATAATTAAAAGTAAGATTAAAGGAACTCGAAAAGCATGATAAAGAATTTTATGGATTCATATCTCCATGTAGCTTAAGGTTAAAAAGTAGTATTTATTATATAAACGAGTAGTTTATTTATATTTTATTGTCTAATTTAATGTAATATATTGATCAAAAATAAATTATTTTAACCTTCACTACAAAGGTTGGGTAAATAATACCCCACGGCTTTTATAATCTTGGTAATAAAAAAGCCTGAAGATATTTTGACCTGGTTTTTATAGTAGTTTAATATTTTGTTATAAGGAATATATTTACCAAATTTCAAGATAATTGATTTGATATTTTTTAAAATATTTTACAATTTGTTGAGCTTGGGGTAGTATAGGTCTCACCTTTGTACTTACGAAATTTTCTTTTTTTCCAAATTTTTTTAATTAATTAATATTATTGTATATTACAAATTGATATATAAAATTGAAAAAATAAAATTTATATATTATATTGTGACTCAAAAGTTTATATTATTTTTTTTTCTTGTAGCAAAATGCAAAAATGAGCATATGGAAAATTTAATATCATCAAGTTCTGGAAATATTTTCACTTAATATTTGATATTAATAACATTTTATATAAGTAAAGTAGATTGTGAGTCAAATGATAATTATTTATATGACAGCAATCACAAATCGGAAACAGAGGAGGAAGGTAATGATGAGTGTGAAGATACTATAAATATTGTTACAGTAAAATATGCTAGCCTTTAATAAGTTATATAAAAATATTAGGTAAAGACGGCAAGACCAAATGGAATAAAGAATGTCTTCTTCAAAAAGAACGAGATCCCATAATATAAATTCTTGTTTGCCGGGGGTTAAATCACATGCAAAAAATACAAAATCACTACTAGAAAGCTTTAAATTATTTATCTCAGCTATTATTACAGATTTGTTTTAAAATACACTAATCAAAAGATTGAGGCCCTTCAAAAAGATGACTATTTATCATGTTAAAATAGATGAAAGTGATTTTTATGCCCGGTTAGTTTGTTAATGATAGCTGGTGTTTATAAATCCAATCATCAAAATATAAGAGATTTATGGAATAAGGATAGATTTGGTGTAAATGTATTTAGATATACCATGAATATTAATAGATTTCAATTTCTACTGAAAGTTCTAAGATTCGATGATATGAATTTGAGAAAAGCAAATGATAAAATCACACATATTAGAGAAATTATTAATATTTTTATAATGATAATTGCAATAATTATTATACTGTTGTAATATGTAACTATTGATTAAATACTTCCTGCATTTAAAGGCAAAGGTCCATTCAGGCATAATATGCCAAATAAACCATCAAAATATGGTCTTAAAATCTATACTCCAGTAGATTCTAGGACTTACACATTAAAAACGGATTTATATACTGGCAATCAGCCAGAAGGACCTTATAAATTGTAAATATTCGAAGACTTATTCAACCAATTTCAAGGACTATTAGAAATATTACAACTGACATTTGGTTTACAAACTATGAATTAGCCAATCATATTTTAAATTCACATTCCTTAACCATAGTAGGAACTATAAAAAAATAAAAAGCAGGTACCTGCTTTCTTTTTGATAAAAAAAGAGATATAAACTAAGTTTATTTGCATTTAGAGAAAATACAACAGTAGTTTCAGACATACCAAAAAAGTATAAAAATGTAATGTTTGAAAACCAGAAAATAACTTTTACAAAAACTGAGTTGATGTAGTTGATCAACTTTGCTCCTTATATTCTATATCCAGAAAGTCGAATAGATGGCCACAATATAACTGATGAAAAAAATATTCCATCAAATAAAAAGGGAAGATGTTATGATTGTGGGTGAAGGACAAAAAACAACATTTATTTGTTTAATTGTTCAAAATTCATCTTATATTTTGATGATTGGATTTATAAACACTATCTATCATTAGCAAACTAACCAGGGCATTAAATTCACTTTTATCCATTTTAGCATGATAAATAGAGTCATATTTTTGAAGGACCTCAATCTTTTGATTTCTATGCATTTAAAACTAAATCTGTAATAATATCTGAGATAAATAATTTAAAGCTTTCTAGTGGTGATTTTGCTTTTTTGCATATGATATAACAATTATTTTATTATGGGATCGTTCTTTTTTGAAGAAGGCATTCTTTATTCCATTTGGTTTTGCCATCTTTACCTCAATATTTTTTATAACTTATTAAAGGCTAGCATATTTTACTGTAACAATCTTTATAGTTATCTTCACCCTCATCACAATCTATATTATCCTCCTCTGTTTCCAAATTGTGATTGCTGTCATATAACTAATTGACTCACAATCTACTTCACCTATATTAATATAAAATGTTATAAATATTAAATAGGAAATACTTCCAGAACTTTGATATTAAATTTTCCATATGCATTTTTATAGTATTTTATTTTGCCACAAGAAAAAAAATAGTATAAAATTTTGGGTCACAATATAACAATGAATATTTAAATTAAAAATTTCGTAAGTACAAACGTGGGACCTATACCACTCCAAGCTCAACAAATTGCAAATATTTTAAAAAATAACCTTAAAATTATGTAGATATATTCCTTATAACAAAATATTAAACTACTATAAAAACCAGATCAAAATATCTTCAGGCTTTTTTATTACAAAGATTATATAAGCCGAGTGGATTTACCCCACCTTTATTATGAAGGGTAAAGAGTTCGAAAAAAAACAATACGTTAAACAAACAAATATAACTACTATAAGGCTCTTCGTTACATTTTCAAAAGCATTATGACATGTAATATGCTTCCCTGTAATGTAACGCTAACTTTTTGCCCAACCCTGCACAAAAGGATGTTAAAATTTTATTGATTGAAATGGGAATTAATTATATATAGATGATTTTTTTGATAATCTATAATAAAAACAATTCATTTTCAAAATATTTGCGAAACTAGCTCAATAAATTATATTTTTTAACATCGAATCTATTGTCACCATATTTTTTAGGCTTTAGGCTACCCTAAACCCCAGCCTATAAAAATTTAGGTCTTACCTAAATCAGACAAATATATGTTTTTAAACAAAAATTTTATGGCCAATTTTTCAGATCTCTAAGCGATTAAATAAAACAAATCAAATTTAACTGTGTCTTTTTAAAACAGGTTAACAAGGTAATTTTAGGAGCACATGCTTTATTGGCCAACGGTTATGTAATGGGTCGTGTTGGGGCTTCTTTAATAACCCTTTGTGCTAAATTGTATAATGTGCCTGTGCTATTGTGTTGCGAGACTTATAAGTTTGCAGAAAAAGTCCAAACCGATTCGTTTGTATACAATGAATTAGGTAATAAAATTTTAATAATAAAATAGAATATGAAGTGAGGGAAAAAATTTTTAAGAAAAAATCAATTTAGTATATTTGAATTATAATTATGAAGTTTTGAGTGAGACCGACATGGCATAAAATGAAGTTTAAAATTTATTATATCGCAATTTTTTTATTCTCAGCTGATCCTAATTCTTTATTGACCGCCGAGTCTCCTCTCAAAGATTGGGAGAAGATAGACAATCTAAATTTGCTAAACTTGACCTACGACGTTACCCCACCCGAATTTATAACTATGGTTATCACGGAATTGGGAATGCTGCCTTGTACGTCTGTACCCGTTATACTACGCGTCAAACATTTGGAATAATTATATTTAAATAAAATATAAAACAATCGGTATTTGAGGATTTTTTTAACGTTATATTGTATAATTAGAATATGCTATAGATGGTGACAAATGATGAAATATATCAGGATGTCGAAATAAAAATCAGATTTAGCAATTTTACATAGTATTGGCCATTGATTTAAATATGCTAGGATATTATATGTAAGTATATTCTGTCTGCTCTCATTAGAATCCTTTAGATTAAATAATTAGAATAGGCTAAATATATGAGAAGCGTGCATATGAGTTAAAATATTTTCAAAATCACAATTTATACTAATAATAATCAATTTCAACATGCTATATCCATTATCCGTAACTACATACTATTAAAATAATTTTTTGTATTTTATAATGAGACATATCTTTTCAAATTGTAAATGTAATTTTCTTATATATTGTAAAATATTTAAAATATATTTTTTTCATGTATTTATTAATAAAAATATGAAGGTATACCTTTTGATAATATATAATTATAATGGAATTAAATTTTTTCATGAATCCGTACTTTTAAAACATAAGTCATATAAAATCCGAAAATAAGAATCCTATTTTAATGCATTTTATATTATTGTAAAAGGGACTTGGTTCAGGAAGGGGTGGGGGGAGGGCTATAAATAAAAATTTGATATGGGTATTAAATAAAAGATATTTAAAATATTTTTTGATTGTAATGATAATTATCACTCTAAGGATGTAGGGCTAAGTTTTGGAAGGGGTGGGTGGAATATTTATATCAACACAAAATATTGATATGAGAATCAAATAAATGGTAGCTAAAGTATATTTTGGCTAAAATGTTATGTTATATTTTATGTGTCTTGTTTATGTCTTGGGGGGTCAGGAATATTTTTATCACACAAAATATTGATAGGGTATCAAATAAAAGGTAATTAAAATATTTTTTGACTACGTTAAATATCTGGGCGGTTCTAGGTATTGGGTCAGAAATATTTTCATAAACATAAAATATTGGTATCAAATATAAGTTAATTGAAATAAAGGAGAAAATTCCTATTCCCCGTCATTCTTGACGTGCTATCTTTTAGTATTTAATATATTTAAATAAAAAAAATAGAGCTTGTATTAATTAAATTATCAATACTATTTTAATTTAATAAATTAATTACTAAATAGATTCTGTTTATACAGTAAAACTTGTATAATTTGTACTCATATTTTCTTAATGTATTAAATTTTTTATACTAACTCATGCCTAATATGATAAATTTTGTTTGTCCAAAACAATCATTAATTGTTAAAATTCTGACAATTTTCTACCTTTTTTATTGATCAAATACCATTTTTCTTTATTTAAAAAAAGACTGTATTCCAAGGGTTTTGGAACAGATACTAAAACTCATTAAAATTTGTAGAAAACTGTTCCTACTTCCTACACCGGTTCTAGTAAAAGTTTCAGTAATTCATATATATTGTTCAAAATGTTGTTCTATTTATTTTAGAAGGTTTATTTATTTATTTATTATTTTTTTCATTGTTTTAACAGAGATTTGAAAGGGAATCTGCAACCATCGAACACTGATTGTCCAAGAACCGGAGGCAGAATTCATTCCTTTTTCAAAATTTTAAGAAGCGAAACCAGAATTTTAAAACCGAAACTGATCCAAGTTCCAAATTTAAATAATTTCATGTCAAAATTGGCACTAACATATGTTCCAAAGATACATTCATTGAATTATATCTCTTCTAAATGTAAAATATTGTACTGCCATTCACAGTTGGTGTGAATTCGTGACGAAATAACAAAATATGCTGTATTTTTGTATATCTCGCGGCTAATTTGCACTACTGTGAATGCAGGGTAATTCAAATAAATTTTATCTTCCCCAGAAGTGAAATGATTCATGAAAAGTAATTTTAAAAATATTACCAATTAACTATTTTTTAAATTTATTTATTCTAAAATATAAAAAATTTACCAGAAATTATTGTTTTTCGAAAATTGTTAGATTGAGTTGCTTATTAATTTTTATGAATAGATTCCCTCCAATAAAAAATTTTTAAAAATTTATAAAGAAAAGTGATATTAAATGGTTATTGAAAATGTATATAACTCTTAAAAAATATAATTCTCAGTTTTAATTTATTTTTATTTAAATTTTTTTACTAAACTCATAGTAATCACAAAAAGAGAAAAATGAATTCCTTTTTGGACATGTGTTTGGAACTATTATGATTTTATTTAGATAAGGTTCAACAACACTATAATTCCTAATAAATTAATTCTTATACATATAAATTCATCTGCATGAGTTAAAGATGAACAAGCGAGAATTAAAACAGTGAAAATCTAGTATCATTAAAACAGAATTACATATTAATTAAAATATTTTTAAATATACCAACTATTAGAAATCGAAAATATAGCTGAAACATATTATAAATAGATATATAATATATTTTAAAATGTAATGAAATGAATTTATAATTTAATTTTTAATTCCTTTCATATTACTAAGAAATAATTTTGATGTTGTTTCGCAATATTAATTTAGGTCAAAGTATTCTAATATATGGTATTTTTTTATGAATAATCAAATTTATTGCTTAGAAGGATTTGCAAGTTTTATATTAATATAAATATATAATTATGATAAAGTAGCAAACATTATAAAGCTAAATGACGTAAATGCAAAATTACGTAAAAAATGTAAAATTTGCAAACTCCGCAAAAACAACTTACTAAACCAATTAAATAAAAGCACGCGTAATACGAAAAGCACACCTAATTAACACAATCATAAATAAGCCTGCAAAATAATAACGAGCAATTCACTCTACATCACAAAAGAATACACCCTATTAAAATTACCCAGTCGATAACAATTGATAAAATCTGTAGTAGATTTATATTTTATATGTTTTTAAAATTTAAAACAATGAGTCCTATTTAATTTACTTATATCAATTATTTTTAAAATAAATAAATGTCAAATCCTGCAGTATTTCATTATATATAAAATTTATTTACATTAATTACTATTAGCTAAATGTGAGCATCCTCTATAATTGAAATAACTAATAACTACAAATTTAAGAAAGTAAAGCTTTTTAAGTTCAACTTTTTAAAAAAAATTAGTTTTTGAGGTAATAAAACAGAAACCTATTTAAACTTTGTCTTCGAGAGTTTAGGAAATGACATTAACTCGTTGAATTCGAAGAAGAACCTCACCTATTAATTCAATGATATATATCATTGTATTAATTATAATATAGAGGAAACATGACTTGAATTAAAGTGTTTCTTTTAATAAGGAAAAATAAAATAAATCTGCCTGAGGAAGAAATTTTAGCAAAATTTGATAAGTGACCAAAGATATCTGATAAGGATAACAGCAATTGTTAAAAGTATTTCCATCACACTAAGTTATTCAAAATGTATTTTGAATGAACCACTAAGCTATAAAATAATGTAAAACAATTCTATCTAATCAAAATCATATTATATTTATTAGATTTATATAGGCATAATAACTGTGTCGCAATGAGTTACAGATAAATAGTCAAGATCAAGCAATTAATATCTAAGTACCATCAAATGATTTAAAATTATGTTATATTAAAATTAGTATATTTTACACCAACCAATATAAATCCGGAATCCTTAACATTTTATAATTAATAACACATTCAATTCAGCACCGTCACTAGGTGGGTGCATGAAGGGACTTGAGCCCCTCAAAAATTTGAATAGCCCCCTGAACGAATTTTTTTAACGGATTTATCCCCTCAACAAAATAAGCCAACATGATCGATTTTTATTAAGAAATCTACTATTACTTATAGATTTGATATTATTTGTAAAATATTAATAAGACTATAAATTTTTATTAAATGAGTGCTATTTTAATTATTAGATTAATGGTATAAATTATATTTTCACTATGTTAACAATTGCAATCAAATTCTATATTGAAAATGGAATATTAATATCACTTATAGTTATAATAATTTAATATTTTTTATATGTATATTATTATTTTAGAATTATACATTCTATTTACATATTATAGAAATATTAGTTTTTGTTCGAAATTAAATATGACATATTATATGACAAATTAAAAGTATTTATATACGTAATAATAATGTCTAGATATCAATCAAGCATTAACAATTACAGTTTAATTGATTTTTATTATTTAAATTATTTTATAACCATAATTAAATAAATATAATCATTTCTTAATTGGAAATAAAACAAATTTAATAGTGTGATTTGTATTAGCCGAGTTCAAATCACTAATCAACTATATTAATCATTTTTAAATTTAATTTAATATACCTCTTCTTAAAAAAAAATTTCTAAAATCCAAACCAGTATACCAAACTACTTTGTTAAAACTCTAAGTATATTTTAATAAAGGCAACTTTAATTTATATTAGATAATGAAGAAAGAAGAGATTGATTTTGAAATGAATGCTTTAAATAATGGAAATTGAATAAATATTGATAATATTTATGACAAAAGAAAAGAAGGCAATGAAAGAGTTGGAGTTAAATTGTAATTAAAACATCTTTTATTCATTTATTAGACAATAAAGAACGAAGAGATATTGATTTTGAGATAAATTTTTAAATAACAGAAATGGAAACAATATTGATGTTGTACTTTAGACAAAAGAAGAGAGAGAGCAATGAAAAAGCTAAAGTTGAACAAGGTATATTTGATTAACATCTTTAACTCATTTTATTTTATATTTATTAGATAATGAAGAAAGATAAGCTATAGATTTAGAAATGAAAACTTTAAATATTTGAAATAGAAGCAATATTGATGCTGATGATATTTAAGACAAAGGAAAATGAGACGATGAAAGAGTTTAAGTTGAAAATACAGTTTTTCAATTTCAAATTATGATTTAGATAATAAAGGAAGAATAATTATAGTTCTGAGAGATATAAACATGGAAAACAAAAAAGTTAAGAGAAAGAAAATAGGAATTAATTTGTATATAAAACATTTTATTTTTAAAACAAAAGGCGCTATATTTGAAGTTCAATCTGAAAATATCTCTTATGGTATAAAATTTTCTAATGTAATTAAAAATATATTTAATATAGTCAAGGATTCTGATGAGAATGCTATAGCTTGATTTCGGTAGCAACAATCCGTATAAAGGTATATTGAATAATGAAAGAAAATATTTTTTATCACTGTTATATAGGTGATAACAGTGGTGAAAGATATCGGTGGAGATTTTAATTTATAATAATTTTATTCTAAAACTAAAATGATACTTATAATAAATATAAAATAAGGTATATATATATATATATTATAAAAAAACAATTTAGACGAAATATATAGTTAAAGGCTATAATAACAATTTAAGTTAAATAAAAAATCAATCAATCAACATTCCCCTTCTTCTGAAAAGCATTCCCACAATCAATCTGAGCTGTCATAGCAAGCTTGTCGTCCAAATGATTTATCATTTTGATTGTCAAGTTGTTGCATATGTCGTCTTAATCGTTGGCTTGTTTAAACTGTAAGCTTCATATCTCAATGGTTATTATTATCAATTTTTTAAAATTGTTATTATCATTATTTGTTATTAAATATATATGAAGATTTTGAATGATAGAATGTAGATATTTTTGAATAACGTCTTTATAGAATAAGATTCGTCGAGTAAACGAAATAGAATTAATCGAAGAATTTGATTAAGAATAATTAAATCAGAATAAATTTATCAAATATTGAATATTTGGAGAATGAAATAAATAATTGGTCGCGTTTTATTTTTATTTTATATTATATATATTTTGCGTTTTAGATAACAGCGTTTTACGTTTCTCAATTTTGCGTTTTATAAATAGATTTCATTATGATAATTAAAAAATATTATAAATGATACTAACTCAGTTGAATTCGAAAAATAAATCCAACTATTAATTATATAATAAAGAGGAAACATGAATTAAATCTAGTAATTCTTTTTGGAAGTGAGAGCTTGAAAATAAAATGAATGAATTTGGAGGATAAATATTAACAACACATTAATAAATTACCATAGATAGCTAATAACATCAATTTTATTAAAAGCTATTTTCAACAAAATAATCATTATTCAAAAAGTAGTTTAGTATAACTCGAACTAATCAAAATATTATTAAAATATAAACCCTCTGGCCCAATCGGTTTTCGACCAGGGGCCTGACCGGTCTTTTATTAATATTTAAGTTTGACTTGCTATTCAATTCATATATTTTTTTAGTTTTGGGGAATTTCCTTTACTTAAATTCATTTTTGAAATATTTTATTAAAACCGAAATTTGCCAAAAAGAATTTGTATTATATAGTGATACGATATTGTTAACGTAAATTACTTTTATATTTAATAAAATGATAAAAAATTCAATTAGTTAAAAGTATTACTAAAATAACTAAAAAACTTAAAGACCGGTCTTTTTATTGACCGGTCTAGACCGGTTTTTGTTTAGTGAACCAGTCTAAATGTATTAGTCTGGTCCGTGTGCAATGGTCCCGTCCTGGGCCAACCAGCCGTGACCTTCACTAATTATAGAAAACATACTAATGTATTAATTAGATTTATATAAACATACTCTGAGATGTTTTGCATTGAGTAACATATGAAAAAGTCAAGGTTAAAGCAATTAATATCTAAGTGTCATAAAATGGTATCAAGATTATGTTGTGTTAATATTATTGTGTACCAACCAATATATATCCGGAATTAATCGTTACCATTTTATAACATACACATAGCCAGAAAGTATATAGTTAGTATAATAAAATAATACAATGGAATAAATCTTTCGTGAATTCGTAATTTATATAAATTTAGTTGTTGTTTTCCGAATATCAAAATTAATAACAAATGATTAGGTAATTTTTATATTATTCGTTGCAATAATATTTCAATCAAGGTTAGCTTCTATTAATACTATATTTACTTGATTTAAAGAAATTTATGGCTTTGAGAAAAAAAATGTCTATCAAATAGGCTTTTATTTTATAAAATTAATAGGTTTTCAAAAATAATTTTTCTTTATAATATTCTGCTTTTAATAATAATAATACTGTGGGCTATACCTTTAGGTCTGTTAAATTATGCATTCCAACATATGACTAGTTTCGTTCTAAACGGGACTTATCAGATATGTATCGTTGAACCCGGAGCATTTATGTTCTTAAACGATTCGAATTAAGCCGATATTAAAAAGGTTTAAATCAATATTTGGTACATAAAAATATTATGCAATTCTAAAGATTTTGCTCATAGATGGTAAAAAGGTTTGAACATTTATTAAGGAAATCTCGAATTGGGTTATATTTTTATGGCTAAAAAATTAAGTTAACCATTTAAAAAAATCTGCTCAAATCGCGCAATTTAACAATCACAGTCGCCTGTACCTACCACTTTAATTTAATAACTTTAATGTTCTTTTAAATGCTTTTAATATGAATATTAAATAATAACCCATGTAAAATGTCATAACTAATTTAATTAGCTTTCGGGTTGAAACCATTGTGTAAAATTAAAACATAGGTAAAAATTTACGTAATAATATTCAATATTAAATTTAAATAGATTATTGAAGGTTATTTTAATTATGTTAATTTTTAATTGTTTTGAAAAAAATTACAAGCCTAAATTTGATTTGAATTTTTTTATTTTAGGATTAGCAAAATAAATTTCTAGTAAATATTTAAAAAATATTCTCTTATCTTATTTATATAATAGCTGCAAAAAAGTTGATATATAAATAGAAGTGCAACATTTAACAAAATATTGTTACATGTCAACAAAGTAACAATACTCTCCCCCTCCATGTAATATCGGATCGACCAAATTCGACCAAGTTACATTAGGTTTGGCTCATGTGAGTCTGTTTCAAATTAAAATTTATTTTTTGCCATCTCTCAGATTTGGTAAGTTTTGTCGAAAAAGAGAAAATAAATTTAATTTAATTTAACTTAATTTAATAATAATATTTTACTTAATATAATAAGCTATATAGAATTTCTATTAAAGTCCTGCATTGGTTCTTTAAGTTCCACCCGATCAATAAATCTAAATTTTTCTACCTATCCGAGCAGGCAATTTTTTATGATAACAAAATCGGAAAAAGTTAAAACTTTATTTTCGATTATGAATTTTCTTTATAATCTTAATTTGCTTGATTGCTACTATAAGTTTCGATGTACTTTGCTTGTTCCTCAATAAATCTTAGCAGAGTCACTTAATATATCTTGCAAGTATATTTAATTATTTTAAATATAATCTCACATTTCTATTATATTAATTTTTTATTCATTAACTTCTGATGTTGCAAAATATTTTCCATTAAAAACAGATTGTTCATATTGTGAACCGTAGATTAATTTAAGGAATTTTAATAAATCTATAAAATGAGTCAGTCTTAAATGAAAAAATATTTATAAGTCAATAATTATTTTCTAAATTAATACAATCGTTGTATATGATTGGAAAAATGAACTTCTAGCATGAGACTTTCCTATTGTTATTTCCTTACTTCTAAAAAATAAATTGTTTTTTTGGTTCAACATATCTTATAACATAGTAAATTGGTCAACCAAAGATATCAGGTATAAATAGTTGTTTATAAAAAATTTTCTTTGATATCCAACCCTAAACATGACTTCTCTTTAATGATCCTTTTGTTTTATAAAAATAAACTGCAAGTGTATTAAATAGGCGCAAATTGTAGTGTGCTGAATTTTCCGATCTGAATCGCCATGCCTTAATTTATATTGACTTTTTATATAAATTAAAAATATACTAAAATGTTTTGCAAAAATTGTCAGAAATTTATAGGGTAGATACTTAACAACATGCGTTGTAGTACATTTTCAACTATCACATTTTAAAAAATTCTAACCCTCGGTGATTTTGAATCCTCACAGATTCCCATATCCCAAAACTTTATAATGTTTTTTAATTCGACCCAAATAGGGCTTTTTAAGTCCATTATATTTTATTGTAAACCCAAGCAAGAGCGATACTTCTTTCCCAAGGAATTACGGTTAAACCATGGTATCTTACCTTTTGAAGTATTAAGATATAAGGGCTCGAGTGTAAAAGAATGTTGGTTCTTCTTAGGGCATTGAGTTTAATGTGGTTAATGCCCTTATCTAGGAATGGCGGCTTTTTAAAAATTGACTTTGTAATGTGCTCTATTCTAAACGTTAACATTGCAAAGAGAACAGATAATAGTGGAAACTATAAAGCAAACAGAGTGAAGACCAAATGCTCTCTTTAACTAATCAGGAAATATATGAAGATTGCGATTTTGACTGGTGATAGCATCAAACCATTTATATCCTCAATTTGGAAAATTGAAATTTGTCAATTCTTTTGGTTGTAAGTTTAAAATAGAAATTCGGTGTAAGGTTCAACAAAAGGAAAATCTCAATTATTTAGGCGATGAAAGATTGAGGATTTTAGCATCCCAAAGCTAGAGAACAGTAAGGTGTTTATCTGAAAGAATAAATAAGTGGGATATTATACAGTGTGTCGATCAAACAAATGAATGCTGGTATTAGAGATCTGCAAAGCTCAGGTCCTTACAAAAACCCGCCCCGTGGGTCAGGCCGGTAAATTTAAGGTGTGCTTGATAATTTATATAAAAAATCAGGCAGGACCTCATAAATTGCATTTTTCGTAAAATCAAATATTTAATGTATTTATTTTGAATTTCAAGATAATGAGTCAGGAAAAAATTAGATGTAGATATTAAAATCTGATGGCTGGAAAAATCGTAATAAAAAAAATCAACTGGTTTAGCTAGACTTCGTAAATTTCTTACGGATCGGGTCGGTTAATTTTTTAAAAAAATTATAACCGCTGGGCAAAAATTTTAACCGGCTGGACATCGCAACTTTTGTTCGGTCTTTTCCGACCAGTAGCTCCTATTGAAAAATGCAATACTACAACATATCTATAAAAAAAATTGAACGCGTTGGCGATCAACCTTCATTGACAAAAATTGAATGCATTTAACGATAACCTTCAAAAAAAGACCGCTTTCACGTTCGTTCAAAATTAGAGAGGAAATTTATTAAAAATATTTATCGTTTTATCCTTTGCTTCAAAAAATTCTATGAAATACAAATATCCAAAAATGAGTTACTATTGGGCTAATTATAGCTATATTATATAAAATAATAAATATTACAATAAACAAATTTACATCTTGGTAAGGAGTATGGAATAAGGATATAATTAGTTCCTTGAATGTAGGATATTACTGTAGAGTATTTATTATATTTGGGCCATGGTAAAGTTATTCCATCTAATTTAATGTATTGATATGATATTCCAAACGCTAAATAAGAAAATATAAATAACTTTTAATATATAAAATATATGATAAAAGAAAAGCTCCGCCTCTTTTATTCTTTTTTCCCAGATCGGCTTCAAAAATCAATTTTCTTGCAGCCACATTGGCAAGAAGATTATTGAGAGAACAGTTGGACTAAATTACCAAAGTAAAATGATAAATTAAAGGTGTATTTATATTATTTACTTACTATTCTAAGTGAGGTATACAAGAATGAATATATTAAGGGCTTAAAGCGAAGGCAGAAAAATACAATTTTCCAACAAAAGGTGGAGGGGTTAAATACATAAAGTAGTCAGGGCTGGCTTATATTTATCTGAATTAAAATAAATAAAGATCTAAAACAACAAATAAAATAATTTTTAAATATCAGGTGTGCACCAATACAATTTAAAAAAAACTAGGAGTCCGAGTTCTTTTGTTTTAAAACTCATTACAGAATTCAGTACAATTATCAAACGCCATAGAGATTAAGTTCTTAAACCGGTGGCTTGAGGCATTACGATTTAACTTTTTTGATGTCGTTGATATTGCCAAAACAAAATATTCAAAAATAATTAAATATGTTTTTATACCTATTATTACTGATTTGCATAAACTCATTAATTTCATAATCTTATACATTAATCTTTTTAATATTGTTTACCTAACTAATTTTATTATTTTATAAAACAAATGGCTATCATTTTGAAGAACAACTTAAGTTAAAGGGGTAAATAGCGATTGTGAAAACCTTTTTAGGTTTAAATCTCAGTCAGACACTTATGTGACAAGTCCTGGTAGGAAATTAGTAATATGTTGGAACTATTAACTTCAGAATTCTGCAGAGGCTGAGCTCTTAGAATTTTTATCAAAAGGCTAATTATTTAGAAAATTATTTAAATTACCTTTTATAATAAAGGTTTATTAAGTTAAGCTATTTGGTAGACACCTTTTCTCAAGGCCATACATTTCTTTAAACAGAATAAACATTATATTATAAGAAGACGACCTTGATTTAAATATTATTGCAACAATAAAATAAAAATTAATTAATGATTTGTTTTTATTATTATATTAGGCAACCCCAACAAAATTAATATAAATATTGAATTCAGGAGAAATTTATTCCATTATATTATTTTAATAATACTACTATAGATATTTTCTAGTTAAATTTCTTATATAAAATGGTAAAGATTAATTCCGGATTTATATTGGTTAGTATACACTCATATTATATATCATATCCTGATACCATTTAATGTAAGATATTAATTGCTCTAACCTTGACTTGTTCACCTGTTACTCAATGCAATCCAGTATTTCAAAGTAAATCTATATAAATATAATAAATTTAAAATAATCGGTTCAGACCGTCCTCATAAAAAAATAACTATCCCTGGCTGGTTTTTTAATTTTTTATTTTTAAAATATTTTTATCAAATTTAATTATTATTTTTTTATCATTTTAACAGTACAGCCCCGAGCTAAGACCTATTAGTCGATTAACCTTTACTAATTATCATATATTTATATTTTAATAATATTTTGAATGGTCGAGTTTGTTTTACTATAATTTATAGCTATAATGGTTTGTAATTGAATAACGATTAGCGTGTTAAAAGTAACATTTGCAATTGATGTCATTAGATATATATATATGGACATTTATTAACTATTTTTTAAAATATCTACTCCAAATGGATCATTTTATTTTCAAGCTTTTACATCTAAAAAAACCCCTTCATTCCTATTATATTTATTTAACTAAGGAGTGATTTTTTTCTTCAACTGTTATGATCATTTCCTTTTATATCTTTCATCAGTATTACTATAAATATAATTATTTTTTGTTGATATTACTTTTTAGGAATAAGGGTTAGATTCATTGGGTATCTTTACACATTAAAACCGTTTTATACTATTATTTAATTGTATCAAAGTGTATGACAATTATTGTGATATATTTAATCACAAAATTAACATTTTAGCGTATTTACAAAATTTGACTGGCCAAATATGCGATCATTCTCTCATATTTCATTGGTCAATTGACAAACTAGCCAACCCTGAATTTCCTAATTCTCCTTGAAAGGATATCTCTAAAATTTTAATATAAATTCCAGTATTATTATTTTATATTCATAAATTTTAATATTTTTCGACAAAAAAATAAACGAAGATTTACATAGGGTTAGACGTGCTGCCCCTATAACTGTCACACAATCAACAATTGATTATGCTAAAATTGCAAGAGGCCTTAATATAATAGGATAACAAAATGGAAAGAATAATATTTTATTTTACAGTATATTTTTACAATTATTATTCTGGTGTCTATTGTATTTAATTCATTATTATAAAAAATGGGAAGATATCCAAATTAATTTAAAAATCAAATTTTTTCTTGTCTAACTTAGAATAAATTATTATATATTATATAAATGTCATTATCAATAAAGCTATAAATAAAACCTGAATCCACGTAAAAACTTATCGATTCCCAATGTAACCACTTTAAATTGTTTTTAGATATTTTTTATAGAGGTCACAATTATAACTAAAAATTTTTTAGCCTTCATTCAACTTCAAACGCGAACTAAGAATAGGACATAATAGTCAAAAACATGCAAATTCATCAAAATCTTTTTAATAGTGAATATCTCTGGATATAAAAATTTTTATAATAATTTTATTATTTTTAAAATATTTTTATTTTTACCTAATTCAATTCGTTTTTTAAATCATTTTATCGCTTACAATCCAGGTGTAAGACCTATTGGTCCAGAGGATTCACCTTCACTGATTATAATCATGTAATTATATTTTAATATTATTTTGATTGGTTTGAGCTTGTTTTACTTATATTTATAGCTATAGTGGTTTTTGAAATTGAATAAAGATTAGCGTGTTTAAAATAGCTTTTGCAAACATTGATGTCATTAGATATCCATGGTAGATATCTGTAAAGTTACGCCCGGCCCGTCCTCAACCCGAGTCCATTTCAAATCGGGGTCGGGCCGGGCCTAATATTTTTAAACATATCTAAATTTATCAATTTTATATTGAATTTTTTATGTAAAATAAAAATATTTGATTTTATTTATAGAAACTAAACGACATTTAACATATATCTTTTATTTTGAGTAATTATAAAAATTAATTTCTATATTTAAATAAATTCGGGCCGGGTCGGGTCGGTAAATTTTTTTTAAAAATTCGGGTTCGGGCCGGGCTGGCAAAATTTTTTTAAAAAAATTTAGGGCAAGGCCGGGCTTGAAAAATTAGGCCCGATGCAGATCACTAATCCATGGTCATTTATTAACGTGTTCTTAAAATCTCCACTTCAAATAGATCATTTATTTTCAAGATTTTACTTCCAAAAAGACGCCCATTCACGCAATTCATATCTTATATCTATTATATATAACTAAGGAGTGATTTTTTCGATTACAACTGTTATCATTTTCATATCCTTAATTACACATATGTTTTAATCAATTATCCTGTAGTCAAATTTTAAATCTATTTTGGTTTTTTACTATTCTAAAAGGAGTTTAAAAAAATTTGAAAATAAGTTGAACTTGCAAATTTTATCTTAGCAATTAATGTAATTTATATAGTGCTTTTATTTATTTATGAAATATGTATTTTTTAATCAAAATAGCACATTTTGAGTGTGCCCATTTTAAGCACATCGTAAATTTCAATTATTTTTTTCCCATTTTAAGCACATCGTAAATTTCAATTATTTTTTTCTTTTGTGACTATTTCTAAAATTTTTAAAATTTTATTTTAAATAATAAAACCATTTTCCATTTTGCTAAATATCTTTTTTATAATGTAGATGTTAATACTTAGATATTGTATTGCTTTAATCACATTTTAACAATTTCGTCTATAGCAACTTTACCCCAAAATGATATTATTTGTACAAACAGGTATAAATGACACAATCATATAAACAAGCAAAACTGCAGATAAGAATATAGTAGAACCATATTATAAGCCAGATAAAATTTATATCACGCCTTAAGCGTAAAATCAACTAATTTCTGGAAGCATAAATATAAATTTAAGTATTCAATCTGTTTGATGAGTATAAATAAAAAAATTATTAGCAAAATACGAAAATTAGTATAATTCATATCAAGATTTGAGATAAAACGAAGAATCTAGAAGCACCAAAGTAATTAAAATAAAAAAAATTAAATATGTTTTGCTAGTGTTGTTAAATTAATTAAGCCTATTCAGAAAATAGGTGAACTCTTTAGCCAAAAGAAATTTACCTAAGCTAGAAATATTTCTCACAAATGACATAAAGGTCTCAACATCGCAAAATTTTGAGGCGATTAACTCTCTGGGAAGTAATGTTGTTTAGCAGCTCGATTTAGTCAATTTTAAAGATTTTGGCCAAAATAATATTATGCAAGCCTCATAATTTTGTTAATAGATATCTTAACTTTTCTCCCATCTATAATCAAAACCTCCAAGCTTGCATAATACTGTTTGATTTAATTTACCCACTACCGAGGTTAATATACAATTTTAATATTGTTTCAATACGGCTAGATTTTAATAAATTCTTAAAACGGCCAATTCAATTATTCATGCAGAAGAACATTAAGCAAGCCTGAAGATTTTGCCGATAGAGCTATAAGGAGGTCAAACTGATTAATACTATCTAATGAAATAACAAATTATTGTCATATGGATAATCATTTGTAAGTTACCAAACGTATATTTTGAGATTTTATGCAATTTAAGTATCTCTAAAAGGAAGAATTTTGAATTTCTTCCCCAAAAACATTCTCGTAAATATTTCTTAAATTTTTGAGAAGGGTTCCTGGCCTTCACTGATATCATATAAACCTTACTATAAATTTACTTTTTGATAAAAACTAATTTAATAAATAAATAATGGGGAGAAAAGGAGCTGAATTAAACTATATTTGTTTTTGTGTGTATGAACAATTTTCTTGTTTTTAAAGGATAAAAAATTGTTTGCCATACATCTAAAATTACTTTTTTTACCTGGATCTTAATCTGTTAAGAATTATTGAGGAATAAGCGAAGTATATAGAAATTTATAATAGCATAAATACAAATTATGGTTATAAAGAACATTCATAATCGAAAATAAAGTTTTAACTTTTTCCAATTTTGTCATCATAAAAATTGCCAGCTATGATAAATAGAATAATTTAGAGTTTTTTTAAGATCGGGTGAAACTTAAAGATTCAATGCAGGACTTTAATAAAAATTCTATAAATGACTATTTGTTTTAGTAAAATATTATTATTAAATAAGTTAAGTTAAATTTATTTTCTCTATTTCTATATTAAAGGATTAATTTATGCAAAAATGTTAAATCACCTATCTGAGAGATGAATAATTTGAAACCAGATCATAAGGGCCAAATCTAATAGAGCCGAGTATACCGGTATTACACATGGGGGGGGCTAGTGTTTCTTTGGTGCCATAGAACAATATTTTGCTAAATTTTACATTTCTATTTATAAACCGCAGATGTCATATAAGATTAATATATTTTTTAAATATTTACTAGAAATTTGTATTGCTAATCCTAAAATATAATCTTCAAATTTTTAGTGATTTTGAAGTTAAAAAAATTTATTAAATTTTAAAAAAAATTGATAAAAATTTGATCAGTAAAATTAATTTATGTAAAAAAAAAATTCTATTTCTTTATAACTAATAATGATAGAAGTCAAAACTACTTATGAACAATGCATTTTTGTAAATTTTTCATGTTGCTAAGAAGGCAAAGCTGTTTACATCATGGGGGAAAAATTATTCTTAAACCCTCTTTGATGAAGTTAGGATAAAAAATTAAAGAGAGGGTAAATATACAGTTGGACTAAATTGCCATGGTGAACTGTAAATTTTATAGGTTTTTATTTATATACTATATTAAATGAGGTTTACAGCAATTAATTTATCAGATAGTCTCACCAGAACTAAACAGAAGCGCCGGCAAATATCATTTTTGCAATAAAAGGCGGATGGGTTAAAATATAAGCCAGTGCAAGGTTCTTATATTTATTAAAGGGGGAGTTTCTTGGATTATAAAATCAGCTCATACAGACCCAAGCTCAATTTAAAATTCTCATAGAGACACTGCAAATTCTTAAACCGATGACCTAAGGCCTAATGGTTTAATTTTTCTGATTCCATTAATATTACCAAAATAAAATAATCAATAATAATTAAATATGTTTTTATACCTATATCACAATTTTTTTTAAAAATTAATTTCATATCATCATACATTAATCTTCTTCATATTATTTACATAATTAATTTTATTATTTAATAAACAATTGGCTATTTAAAAATGTGTACTTAATATTAGTTACAGTATTTAAAAATACAAATTTAGGCTTGTAATTTTTTTCAAAACAATTAAAAATTAACATAATTAGAAACGTTCAATAATCAATTTAAATTTAATATTGAATATTATTACGTTAATTTTTACCTATGCTTTAATTTTAACCAATGGTTTCAACCCGAAGGCAAATTATATTAATTTGCATATTATTACGTGGATTATATTTTAAAATTCGGAATAAATCTAGCATTTTAAAGAATATTAAAGTTAAAGTTATTGAATTACAGTGGTAAATACAGGAGACTGTATTCGCGTTCTTGAATGACTCGAGTTTAGCAAATTTTTTAAAACGGCTAACTTAATCTTTTAGCCATTAAAATATAACCTACCTTGAGATTTCTCTAATAAATGTTTAAACCTTTTTACCATCTAAGGGCAAAATCTTCCTAATTGCATAATATTTTTCTGGGTAAAATATTGAGTTAGTCCTTTTTAATATAGGCTCATTGAGCTGTTTAAGAACATACTGTGAAAATATTCCGTCATATCTGTTAAGTCCTGTTAGGACGAAACTAGTCATATGTTGGAACTAAATTTCAGAGTTGCAGAAGCGTAGCCCTCAGCATTATTATTAAAGATAGAATATATTTAAAAAAATTATTTTTGAAATGGTAGACATTTATTTTCTCAGGCCATAAATTTCTTTAAATCGAGTAAACATCTTATTACGAGAAGCTAACCTTGATCAAAATATTATTGCAACAAATAATATAAAAATTACCTAATCATTTATTATAATTATGATATTAGGAAAACAACAACTAAATTAATATAAATAGAGAATTCACGAAAGATTTATTCCATTATATTATATTAATAATACTATATACTTTCTGGTTTGTTGCAACTTATAAAATGTTATCTATTAATTCCAGATTTATATTGGTTGGTACACAATAATATTAATATAACTTAATCTTGATACCATTTTACTACACCTAGTTACTAATTGCTTTAGTCTTGACTTGTTCATATGTTACTCAATGTAATCCATCTCAAAGTATGTCTATATAAATCTAATAAATATATTAATATGTTTTCTATAATTAGTAAAGGTCACAGCTGGGTTTTGGTTCGGACCGGACCGGAAATATAGACCGGACCACCAAAAAAAGACCGGTCCAGACCTGGGTTACGGGTTTTTGGTTATTTTAGTAATATTTTTATCGAATTTAATTCTTGTTTTATCATTTTATTAAATATAAAATTTTCTGTTAACAATATCATTATACACATATTTGATTTAAAAGTAAAATTCTTTTTGGTATATTTTGGTTTTAATAAAATATTTCAAAAATGAATTTGAAAAAAGAAAAATTCCCAAATTCTAAAGTAACACGTATAGATTATAAAAATATATGAATTGAATAGTAAGTTAAACTTAAATATTTGATTGGTTCGATTTAAACTACTTTTTGAATAACGATTATTTTGTAAAATAGCTTTTAATAACATTGTTGTCATTAGCTATCTATGGTCATGTTTTGTTAAAATTTATCCTTCAA